CTAGATAAACTTACTCAGACTTCATTTATGGCTTAATTTTGATTACTGCTGTTTCCCTTGGGGGTGTGAGTAAGCCAGGCATTGTGAGCTACTATTTTCATGTGCTTGATACTGGCTCCTTTTAATCTTTATGATGTTTGCATCAACAATTTTATTAAAAACAAACAGGCTGGGAGCAAACCCATGTTAATGGAATTCAGTGCCTGCCTTGTAAGTATTTTAGCTACATTAACTGGTGAGTTTGTATATTTTATGTAATAACGTAGCTTATGTATGGTTGATCTATATAATTTATGTTGAATTGAGTGCTGATTTTTTAACTTATTTTGGTAAAAGATACACTCCTTATATAGACAGACACCTCCCTAGATCTAAGTAATTCATTGATACGTTTAGGGTTATTTTCTAGGTCTGTTTTCCTTTGAGCATGGAAATGTTTGTTAAACAGATCCACTAACAAACTCTGTGTATTTGTATTTTTTGCCTTGTTTTGGGGGTTTGGCATGATGTCATAGGCACACGGAGCACAGCATTTAGTGGGGGTGGTAAGGGCAGTTTGTTTCGCGGGTTACTTACTGTTTAATGCATACATACGTGTACACGTCCACAGGGAATGTAAACTAAAATGAGGCTGTTTCAGTGCCAGACTGGCCGCAATAAATCGTCTGAGATTAAATGCAAGACAAGAGGGAGGAACCCAGCATACACATTGCCAATGAGAATATAATCCAACTGGTTCCACCACCTTGCAGACCCATTTGGAAGTATTTAGCTATGTTGAAATTGCATATACCCCCTGACCCAACAATTTCATTTCTATAAATACACACCCAACACATGTGCACAAGATGTTCAAGTATGTTTATTTGGTGCCACAACTGGTTGAAATCAAGAATTTAAAATTTTTCTATCAACAGAGAAATGATAAGTAAATGTGGCATATACATTCAATGAAATACCAAGTGGCAAAAAATAAACCAACTGGAGTTACATATATGAGATAAATTTGAAAATACTATTGACTGGAAAAAAGCAAACTGCACATGTTATACACTGTGGATACATCTGTACATATAGAACAGACAAGAAAAACAGAAAGGATGTCCAGCAAATTCAGGATAGTTTACCTTTGGAAAAGGAAAGAGTAAGATTAGAGGTGGTGGTACTTAAAAGGATAACTTCATTTTCTCTTTAAACAGGGGCCCTTAAAGCAAATGATGGCAAAATGTTATGACCTACCAGAGCTGGGTGATACCTACCACAGGCATTATCCTGTACTTCCAGTGCTTGACAGATTTCAAAAATTAAAAGTAGCCAGGGGCTTCCCTGGCAGTCCAGTGGTTAAAGTGATCGTGTTTCCACGCCAGGGGCACAGGTTCCCTCTCTGGCTGGGGAACTAAGGTCCCGCATGCTGCGTGGTGCAGCCAAACCCAGTGACCAAACGGCGTGGTATCAGGGAGAGAATACTACTGCCCACCATTTGTTAAACCAGTTTCCTGTGGCACACATTGTTTGTAGAATTGTAACTTAGTATGAGTTTGTATAATTCTCTATTTTAAACTGCTGTCGGTTAGACAGGCCTCCCCCAGTTTCTTAAACAGGAGGACAGACACTGCTGATCCCTAACCCGTGGTCCCTTCTCTTGCTAACAGAACCAGTTTTGTTTAGCTATCGGAAGGCCACGTGCTTCACAGGGTGTTCACAACCTAAGGGGAGGGATCTTGATGACGTGAAGCCAATCACAGCAATTCTGTTCTCCATGTTAGTAACTGATTTGGAAATAGGCATTTAATGGCTCCCAGTAAGACACGTAGGTGAGATCTACCAAGGGGCTTGGGTGAAAAACCTTGGAGAGACACGGACATTATTGCACAAGCAGATGATGCCTGGAGATGTCAGCACTGTGGTACACCACAGAGGGTCAACCCAGAGGACAAAGAGGAGGACAGGCAGGAAGACAGACAGAGCCTGGCTCCCTGGTTACACTCCTGAGCCACTGAATTTACCACCTGTGGGACTGAGCCACCCAGACTTCTTGTGAAATCAATTTTCCTTAGTGTTGTGTTAGGGCTTTCCCTGGTGGCTCAGCTGGTGAAGAGTCTGCCTGCAATGTGGGAGACCTGGGTTCGGTCCCTGGGTTGGGACGATCCCCTGGAGAAGGGAAAGGCTACCCACTCCAGTATCCTGGCCTGGAGAATTCCATGGACTATACAGTCCATGGCGACAGGGTCGCCAAGAGTCGGACACTCTTTCTGAGCAACTTTCACTTTCTAAGTGTTTTAAGACCCACCTAGTTAGATGTTCTGCTCCTCATAGTTGATTGTATATTGATAAAATCATGCTCTTTATCAAAACACAGATGTCTGAAGAATGTACACATTCCAGCGAGTTCATGACAACTATAAAGATCTTGTTATTCTCATATGTCTGGAGGCAGGAATTTTGCAAACTACACAAATAGCTGTAGCTTTACCAGAACCACCCTAGTTTTGCTTCACTTTCTCAGTCACTGAACAGCCTGAACGAGAATGAGCCTGTTTTGGGGACTGTTACCCATACTAGGAAATGTGACTGAGTCCAAATTTGCTGCTTTGGAAGTATTTGAAGGCCTTTAGTTCACAACATTCTTCTGTAACTCTTCACACATGGTTCCCTAAAGATGTTTGAATGTGTATTCTCACTTTCCAACAAGAGGGAGAGCCCATGGGCAGACGTTTTTCCTGCCCATGCCCCACGCCCTGGCAGATCCAAAGTCCAGTATTCTCACCCACGTTGTAAAGCCAACTCCTAGAAGTCTGGGCAACACTTTCATTTAAACACTATGCTTCTGTAATAAACAACTACAAAGGTATGAACAATAAAGTGGATTTATTTTAAAAGACTACAAAATTTGACACAGAGACAACATAAGGCCCACAGGAATTATTAAATATAAAAATGATTGGCTATAAACAATGTAAAAATACATTCCCCAGCCCCCATACAGAACATAATTTAAGTATAGCAGTTATAAAATCTTTGTACTGTATGTCCATTTCCCTTTTAAAAGAACCGTTCTCAAAGGTCTACTTATGTAACAGTGGCTTTGGTTTCACGTTCTCCTTGAAATTTTTATTGACCACAGATCTTTTTACTCCTAACTCCTACCATAGCAGATGGAGGCTAATTAGTCGTGGGTCCTGTTTAAAAAAAAAAAAATGGTGAAAGGTTCTAGGATGCCCTAAAATACCAGTGAAGGTCGTATCTTTGGGTGGCCGGCCAGGAGCTCCCCTCTGCACCGATGAAACGAGTGAAGTGAAACCTGGGGACAGGGAGCGCTTCCGCTGAGCACCGGCCTGCTGGGGCCATTCCCTCAGCCTCCCGTGTGGGGACCCCGAGCGGGCACCCCAAGTGGACCCAGGCAGTCTGCTGGGCGGAGACGATACTTCAAAGGACAGCGGAGCCTGCCTACCACAAGCTGGTTATCTCTGAACCCAGGGTAGACCTAAGCCATCTCTCCTCCCTTACTTAGCACACCCTGCGAACACACACACACATCCTTGGCTGGTTCCATGACCTCCCGAGCAGGCAGTGGTGATGCTGCCACTAGCAACCAAACTGACACCAACAGGTAAGGTTCTGCATCAGGAAGGCAGCAGAGGTTGTGTTTGGGCATCTGTGTCTGAAACCAATCCATGACACAGTGGCAGGTGAGAAAGGAGAGGAGGATGGGGCCATTAACCTACCTCATTGGAAACACAAGTCCACTCTGGAGTCTTGAGTGAAAACTCTTAACAGGAGGACAAGAAAGGTCTAGCCTGTGAAGCACTTGGTTAGAAAGCTCCTGTTATAAAAAGACCTCCTTTAAGAACAGTCTCATTCAAAGTGCCCTGGCTGGCTCTAAGACAGCTGAACTGGGCACTCCCTTTCTTAAGGTCTCCTCTGAAGAGAAACTAGGGCAATGTCTGTGTGGGAACAAGAACCCTAAGATCTGCTGTGAATCTATGCAATTCGACAGGCCCGGGAATCTGGAGAAGCTGGCCTCAAGGCAGCCAGAGCCCCAGGCCCACTGCTGCAGGTACTGAAGCAGCACCTGGACCATCCTGCTAAGGAGACAGAGCGGGGAAGCTCTCAAATAGAAAATCGGAGGTTGAGGTTTTAAAATAAGATGGGCTCCAAAAAAACACTGAACAGAAGCTGAATTTCAGGAGAAATAATCGTGTGGCAAAAAGGTATGAACCATTTTCTGTCTCATAGTATGAACTCATCTCCAGACACGAGTGGTGAAGGCCTGCTTTACAATTGCTTTCAACTGCACTGTGCAACATGGATCTGATCTTTGGTCCTTAGTTAGGGTAGCAGTTTCTTCCATTTTTCTATGTGTACTTTTACATGGGGTTGCTGACACTGTTGTTTTTATAACATGTAAAATATCAGCATCTCCCATACATTTTCTATTAGGCTATAAAAGGTCTCAGAGTTAGTAATTATATCCTAAAATGTTCCAGTATAATTTTTAAGGCAGAGTGAGATATGGCAAAAGCCTGGGTTTTACATGTGTAAGGAAAAAACCTAGACCAACATTTAAAATAATGATCTCTTAAATACACATTAAACTGTATCTAGTCATCAAAAAGCAAAGTCACAGCTAAGCAAATTAAAAGTGAAACCATTTATAAATGGATGAACTTCATCACGCTGTTTATACAGCTATAAAGCATAATTTGAAAGCTAACCCTAGTAACAATGATGGAATAATTTATCATCAGTTGAGCTATGTGATTTAAAGGAACAGCTGCTCTTACCTCCAAACAAAAACAAAACTTCATCTGACACAAGTTTCAACTGTTATAAAAAAAATTTTTTTAAGCCCTCTGGCCTTATTTATGGTGACTGATGCACAGTCCAATCAATACTGATCAAACTGCCGTCCTGCCTTGCTCTCCAAAAATCAGCGGTTTAACAAGGACCCAGGGTCTACAGAAGCTGCGGCAACCTTGCACACCCATCCCCTCAAGTCTCTAAGCATTCAAAGGTTCGGTGTACTCTCTCCTCACGGCGGCGTCCCCTTTTCTCTGCTGCGGCTCCTTACATTTTTCACGGAGCATAAAGGAGAAGTCAGTCAGGTATGCAAGACTTGCTAGAAATCCAAACACCTGAAGAGGGAAAGGGGACAAAGACTCCATGAGGAATTGTGGAGTACACTCTCATTTCCTGCTTAACTCTGGACCCAGTTTACACAGCAAGACAACTCAATTTACTTTTTATGCATCATTCTTAATATCGTGTGTGTGTGCTCAGTCGTGTCCGACTCTTCGAGACCCCATGGTCTGTAGCCCACCAGGCTCCTCTGTCCATGGATTTCCCAGGCAAGGACACTGGAGCAGATTGCCATTTCCTTCTCCAGGGGCTCTTCCTGACCCAGGGATCGAACCCACGTCTCTCGAGTCTCCTGCATTAGCAGGCACGTTCTTTACCACTAGTGCCACCTGGGAAGTCCCATTCTTAAGTTAAAAAAAAAAAAAAAAAATTTAAGGTCAGGTCATCAAAAAATGCAAAGTTAAAAAAAATTTTCAGAATAATGCCCATTAGTCAAAGTCTCCCAAAATATCAATGTCCTGTCTTGTGTGTTGGGGTGTGTGTGTGTGCAGTGCTAATCTGTGAAGCTAAGGTTAATAATGAAAACCAAGTCCTATTACATGCTGTAGAACAAGACTGTCAGCATGGTTAGACTGCCACACAGATGAAAAGAGCAGGTAACCGCGCCTGGGCAACAATGGAAAGTTATTCACAGCAAAACATTCTACAGTGAAGATACTTCCCAATTACCTAAGAACTATTTTCCAGCTCACTGCCACACTGTAATGACACAGCACCGGGATGCCACTACCTACTTCCTCTTCCTTAAGCCACTTCCTCATTGCGCGCGTCTAGTATCTGATCAAACATTCTGAGAATTCTGTCGAGAGACAGAAGAACAGTTCAAATTCAGCTTCATCACGGACAAGCCCTTTAAGACGGGGGCCAAAAGAGAGCTCAGCAGAAAGGGAAAATCGCTGGGGCGCTAGGGCTCCAGCCCCACACACCTTAACAGCTGGTGGTCGTTTGCGCAGGCTCTGGCCCCAGCACCGGCCCTCCATCCTGCCGCATTTCACAGGAAAGCAAACTGAACTTCCTCGTTCACCGGAGTGTGCCCAACACATCCAGCCAAGGTGGAACGATCAATTCCACCCCTCAAAAACCCAAGTCCCTTTTCCCCTCTGGAGTCTTTATTTGGCTTGATGGCATCTGTCCCCTTATGTGGCTGGCAAATATATTCCATACTTTAAAGGCCAGACCAGATGTCACCTTGTCTGTGATGACTACCTCAGAGAGCTCTGGTCTATACAGGATCCCCTCTGCCTATCACCCAATGATCTTCTAGCTTTTTTGCTCACATCAGAATTTTTTTTTTAAATAGACTCCCTCACTCATTTGAATCTATATAATTTTCATACTTAAATAGCTGTAAAAGGTAATTAAGCATATTATAAGTACTGAGCTTTTAAACCACCACTCTTAAAACATATTCAATGAAACTGAATACGGTAACATTCTAACACACCACCTAATTAAAACACACAACTAAGCTTTTAAGTATCTGGGAATTTGAGGACATGCTCCTTCCCACCCTCCATAAACTGAACAGTTCCTCAACTTTATTTCACTTTTCACTTCCTCTACAGGATTTTTATAGTAATACACTTTTATACTAGAAATTACTGCTTCACCTTATCATATTCTTCTGCAACAAAAATGACTATAAACTATTGCTAAAATGCATCAAGGTTCAGCATTAATTTTATTTCCATTTTGTTTTTACATGTTTTAAGTACTAAGATGTTGTGTTCATGTAAGTAGGTAGATAATATTACAGCCAACCAATTCTCTGAATGCCTTTTGAGTTGTTCTAAGCAGTTTGATCTATATGCTGATGTTTCCATTAATTACAACTGCAGTTTTGTTATGAACAAAGCATTAATTGGAAATCGGGTGACTAGTGAGAAGACTTGTTAACTAATTGTTAATTGTTCATATTCACAGCACTGGCCCCGATTAAATCCACGATCTTTGATCTGCAATTCAAAAAGCTACAAAAACTCAAAAGTTTCATGATTTACTTGGATCAAAACTGACACAAGATAAAACTATTTAGTCTTTACCCATCTCTTTTACTGTGAATACTCAGAATAATATTAATATGCAGAAACATTAACGTTGGATAACAAGGTGCTGCTCAGACTGTCCAAAGGTGTGTCAGACAGTGTATGTACAGTTATTGCCTTTCTAAAATCCAGAATATTCTGAATTCTAAAAAACATTGGCCCCTCAACGATTTCTGATAAAAAAACATTTACTTATCTCTCTCTTCTATTAGACTGAGCTTTGGGGTCATACCTCTGCTATCCCCTACACTTAAAACAGCACCTGATATATAAATGTGCTTTTGTTGAACTGAAAAGGGGAGAAATTTTAAGATAATCAGTCAATCCTACCACTTCCATTAGCAATAATGTTCATAGGCAGAGTAAGTGGATTTTTGTTAACTCAAATTCTAAAGACAGGTTCTAGGTTATCATATTTATTTGCTTTTAGGTCCTCTATTGAAAATAACACTAAAAAAAAAAGTTTATACAATAAGGGAGAGTAGTTTGTCTTATCTGCTAAGTACTTTCCAAATGCTGTCTTTTTAAGCCAACAAAAACAAGCAAAGGTAAAGGGTACTTACAATTGCAGCAATTTCAGTTATGGTGTTGTCATGTGTCAGAGCGAAAATGATGGATGCCACCAGGAGTACCAGTCCTGTGCCCAGAGTAATAAAGAAATCCTACACACGCACGAACAGAGGGGTACAGACAACAGCGTTAGGCTGGTTGAAAACAAGTGTGTTCTACTTCTTAACTTTTAAAAAACAGTGACTTCTATTTTCTTTACTCAGACTTACATATTTCAACTAACTTTTCAATAAGCTTGGTCTTTCATAAATACCCTGTAAAGGAACACCCTATAAATATGCACAGGCTGTATTCAGAATACAGCAGAAAATAATCTTTTAATAAAAATAGTTCTCCATTATCACCTGTATGTGGAATCTAAGAACTAAAATCAATGTGTGTAACTTTGAAACAGACCCACAGATGCAGAGAAACTAGCGGGGAAGGGGAGGGGCCAGGTGGTGGGGGGACCAACTATCTTGTTTAAAATAAGCAACAAACATGATCCTCTACATAGAAAATCCTAAAGACTCTACCAGAAAATTACTAGAGCTAATCAACGAATACAGTAAAGTTGCAGGATATAAAATTAACACACAGAAATCCCTTGCATTCCTATACACTAACAATGAGAAAACAGAAAGAGAAATTAAGGAAACAATACCATTCACCATTGCAACAAAAAGAATAAAATACTTAGGAGTATATCTACCTAAAGAAACAAAAGACCTATACATAGAAAACTATAAAACACTGATGAAAGAAATCAAAGAGGACACAAACAGATGGAGAAATATACCGTGTTCATGGATTGGAAGAATCAATATTGTCAAAATGGCTATACTACCCAAAGCAATCTACAGATTCAATGCAATCCCTATCAAACTACCAACGGTATTTTTCACAGAACTAGAACAAATAATTTCACAATTTGTATGGAAATACAAAAAACCTCGAATAGCCAAAGTAATCCTGAGAAAGAAGAATGGAACTGGAGGAATCAATCTGCCTGACTTCAGACTATACTACAAAGCCACAGTCATCAAGACAGTATGGTACTGGCACAAAGACAGAAATATAGATCAATGGAACAGAATAGAAAGCCCAGAGATAAATCCACGAACCTATGGATACCTTATCTTTGACAAAGGAGGCAAGGATATACAATGGAAAAAAGACAACCTCTTTAACAAGTGGTGCTGGGAAAACTGGTCAACCACCTGTAAAAGAATGAAACTAGAACACTTTCTAACACCATACACAAAAATAAACTCAAAATGGATTAAAGATCTAAATGTAAGACCAGAAACTATAAAACTCCTAGAGGAGAACATAGGCAAAACACTCTCCGACATAAATCACAGCAGGATCCTCTATGACCCACATCCCAGAATTTTAGAAATAAAAGCAAAAATAAACAAATGGGACCTAATGAAACTTAAAAGCTTTTGCACAACAAAGGAAACTAAAAGCAAGGTGAAAAGACAGCCCTCAGATTGGGAGAAAATAATAGCAAACGAAGCAACAGACAAAGGATTAATCTCAAAAATATACAAGCAACTCCTCCAGCTCAACTCCAGAAAAATAAATGACCCAATCAAAAAATGGGCCAAAGAACTGAACAGACATTTCTCCAAGGAAGACATACAGATGGCTAACAAACACATGAAAAGATGCTCAACATCACTCATTATCAGAGAAATGCAAATCAAAACCACAATGAAGTACCATTACACGCCAGTCAGGATGGCTGCTATCCAAAAGTCTACAAGCAATAAATGCTGGAGAGGGTGTGGAGAAAAGGGAACCCTCTTACACTGTTGGTGGGAATGCAAATTAGTACAGCCACTATGGAAAACAGTGTGGAGATTTCTTAAAAAGCTGGAAATAGAACTGCCATATGACCCAGCAATCCCACTTCTGGGCATACACACCGAGGAAACCAGATCTGAAAGAGACACGTGTACCCCAATGTTCATCGCAGCACTGTTTATAATAGCCAGGACATGGAAGCAACCTCGATGCCCATCAGCAGACGAATGGATGAGGAAGCTGTGGTACATATACACCATGGAATATTACTCAGCCATTAAAAAGAATTCATTTGAATCAGTTCTAATGAGATGGATGAAACTGGAGCCCATTATACAGAGTGAAGTAAGCCAGAAAGATAAAGACCATTACAGTATACTAACACATACATATGGAATTTAGAAAGATGGTAATGATAACCCTATATGCAAAACAGAAAAAGAGACTCTGATGTATAGAACAGACTTGTGGACTCTGGGAGAAGGCGAGGGTGGGATGTTTCAAGAGAACAGAATTGAAACACGTATATTATCTAGGGTGAAACAGATCACCAGCCCAGGTTGGGTGCATGAGACAAGTGCTCGGGCCTGGAGCACTGGGAAGACCCAGAGGGATTGGGTGGAGAGGGAGGTGGGAGGGGGGACCCGGATGGGGAATACATGTAAATCCATGGCTAATTCATTTCAATGTATGACAAAAACCACTGCAATGTTGTAAAGTAATTAGCCTCCAACTAATAAAAATAAATGAAAAAAAATAAATAAATAAATAAAATAAAATAAGCAACAAGATTGTAAGTACTGTACGGCACAGGAAAATTAGCCATTATTTTCTAACTGACTTTAAATGGAGTATAATCTATAAAAATACTGAATTGCTGGGTTTTACATCTGAAAGTAATATAAAATCAACTATATACTATTAGAAGTAAATAAGATGAAACACACATGCATGTATGTTTTTCTTTAAGACATAAAGATCAAAGCAATAAGATGAAACACCATCTTACTTCCAGCAAAAAAAAAAAAGGCATTTTTCTTTCCTTTTCAGGTAACCCATGCTAGGATGGCCTGAGTACTTTGTTGCTTTTAAAGTACTTTGGACAAGAGACTCAAAAGGACTGCCCATCATTAACTCGATAAAGTTAGGCCAATAGTCTGTTTTTCAGACACTTAAGCTTTGTTGTATAGCCTGTTTTCAACTGTGCCCACCAGGTCATCCAGCACAAGCTTGCATTAATAGGATGAGATTATCTACCATGTGGGAGCACCCACAGCTCATCAGAATGCAGCTTGCAGCACTGGACTGGCTTCCTGGTTTCCAAGAGCTCTCTCGGGCATCACCTCATGAGGCGTGCTCTCAGAGGCTGACTGCAAACAGTGCTTGACACACAGATTTGATTCAGAGGAGAAACTGGAACCATGAGTCACTCCAAAGGGTTTTAAGTCTGGTATTTCTTGAGTTTTCTCAAATACATTCTCCACTAAACCTACTATCAATAAAACTACTGAAAACAGAATTCACTATTTTGTTAGTTCAACATTTATAAAAACCACTTGATTTTTCTCTTTGCTTCTAGAAGAGGTGTTTTTCTGCAGTTTTTCTTTTTTTCTGTTCCTTTGAATTATTATTTCAAACACGTTACTTACAGAACTATTAATATTTGGAGTACACATGAAGTATTTAAACAAGACAGTCATTTTGAGACAGGATGTAGTATTCAATAACGTGGGTTCTAGAGCTAGACTACCTGAGTTCACATACCAGTAATATTCCTTCCTGGCGGCATGACTGAATTAGTTACCTATGGAGTGTGTGCTTGTGTTTCCTCATCTGCAAAATGAGTAGTAACAATATTGTATTCATAGGTGATTCTATAGATGAGAGTTCTTTAATCCAAGAAAACTCTCAGACTAGTGCCAGAATCATAATAAATGTTTCATAAACACTGGCTATTGTTATTCTTGATTAATGTAATGGGACAGAAAAGATTCTCTCTTCAAAAAGATCACTGTTCCACCCTAGACACCACAACCACTATACACTCAAAACGTTTTCTCAAAAAGAAAACCTTACACAAAACAATTTTAAGTATGTTAGAAAGCAGACAGTAACTTAAATCAAAGAAACATGACTTCCTTACAATATTGGTTGAAAAGTAGAATATACAAATATGTTTAAAACTTTCTATAAGACCCAAAAGAAATATTGTAAGATATTTTACAAAAACTATTTTAAGATGAAGTGACTAAATTTTTTTTAATCAGTATTTTAAAATCAGTATTTACTCATAACTTTTTAAATGTTGGGAGTCTGATGTAATAAGTGTTCTACCTTTTGCTTATTTTGACCATAAAAGTAGAAAATACTTTATATTGTTTCTCGTCCAAAAGATCAATGTTCTTAAGCACAACCAACCATTTCTGGGGCTTCCCTGGTGGTCCAGTGGGTAAGAGCCCGCCGGCCCCGGGGGAGCGGAGCCTATGCGCCCGGAGTCCGTGCTCCCGCCGAAGTCACCGCACTGAGACCCGAGCGCTGCAATCAGCCAGCGGCCCGCCTGTCGCAGCCAGAGGAGGCCGGCAGGCAGCAACGAAGACCCAGTGCCGCCAGGAAGTAAACAGGGTTTTAAAAGAACTAAACGCTTCTGAAATACTTTCATGGAAAGTAATGCTGTTTGGCTGTTGGACGAGAAACGCATGAATGTGGTCATCAGAGGCTTCATGGATTTGATTCAGACTCTACCTGATTTTCAAAGTTATTTAATTGTTCAGTATCAACTTTTTGTTGCTTCATTTTTCAACCTTAAAAGAATCATTATGTATATGTACTTTTTTATTGACGTATGGCTGATTTATCCTTTTGTGTTCACTTCAGGTGTAATACAAAGTGATTCAATTATGTTTTTTCAGATTATATTCCATTAGAACTTATTATAAGATACTGAGTGTTGTTCCCAGTGCTACACAGTAAATCCTTACTGCTCCTGTTTTATGGATAGTTTCTTAACCCCACATCCCTAATGTGCCCCTCCTCTCTTCCTCACCTCTGTGGCAACCACAAGCTCGCTTTCTCTGTTTTGTAAGTATATATTCTTTTGTATTTTTAAGAATCCACATGTAAGTGATATCATATAGTATTTGTCTTTCTCTGACATAGTATTATATTCTCTAGGTCCAGTAACATTTTACTGCAAATGGCAATATTTCATGCTAAAAAGAATTATTTTAACAGACAGTATCCAATCAAAATGGTGGGATAGAAGGACATGGAACTTGCTTGCTCCCACAAATACATGAAAAATGCATCGACAAATGGAACGATTCTCACAGCACACCTATTGAACACCAGCAGAAGACCTCAAACCCCTGAAAGGATAGGAATGATCTTCAAGCGACAGGCAGGATGAAACAGCAAAAAAAAGCAGCAGAAAGGACCTGTACCCCTGGGAGAAGCTGGAAAAAGGAAAGGTTCTCACAGTGTGGGAAGCCGCCTCCCTGGCCAGGAGATGAGCCAGCACAGACAGGGAGCTGCAGAGGAGAGCGCGGCCGGGTGCAGAGGAGCCAAACCCGCACACGCGGTCCAGGCCGCCACCCTGCACGCCCCGGCCCGGGGAAACGCGTCCAGGCGGAGGCTGGGTGCTGGCCTCCAGAGTCTAGAGGGCAGGCCTGCGGACAGGACTGCTGTTGGCTGCACGGAGACGACCCGAAGGGGCCAGCGTGTGCTCTAGCCACAACCTCAGGGGCTCCTGCCTTGGCAGGTGCCGGGGAACAAACGACAGCAGGCTGTCCATGCACAGAGCTGAACCCCAGCCGGACCCAGGGGCCAAGTGGCTTAGGAGCAGGACCGTGGTCTCTGCCCATGGCTCCGGGAGCCGCCAGCGTCCATCTCTGCTGGCAGCTGTGTAAACCCAGCACCCACAGAACATTGTGCGGACCACGGGTCCTCCCGCGGCTGACAGATGCAGCCTGAGCAGCTGGGGGCTTCCCGGACACGTGCACACAGGGCCAGGGCCTGAGCCCCTCCGGGGGCACCACTCCTGTGGTGCTGGGCTGGTGGCCTTGTGAACACCAGGCCAGAAGGACCCCGGGGCCAACTGATGGCCGTGCCAAGGCTTAGATGGGGCGAGGGCAGAGCTGACCACAGCACATCTGAGCTTCCTAACAGGTGCCAGCTGAGCAGACTCACCTGAGAACCGCTCTGAGGAAGACTCAGTGGGGACGCTCCCATCCCCCAACCTTGCAGCACAACTCAGAAGCACATCCAGGAACTTCTACTCAACAGCGAGGGCACACACCTGGCCCCCGACAGGCCAGTGACCACCCGAGCAAGGAGGCCCCGCCCGAAGCCCACCGCACATGCTGGTCACGCCAGTCACACCTCCTGGCATGGGCAGAACGGCGAGCAGATGCTGAGCAAAGCCAGGGCAGGCGTCCGCGCTGAAAGCAGCCCCCGCCCCCAACAGCAGTCGACAGGGCCACACAAGGGCGCTTCCACGTAAAAACATCCCCCCAAAACCACAGCAGATAACTGCTTCTCCTAAATGCATACAGCAAGGGAAATACAAGTAAAATGAGGAAGCAGAGGAACCACCCTCAATTAGAAGATCAAGTGAAATCCCCGCAAAGAACAAACAACAAAACAGACCTCTTCAGTCTAATACATGGCAAGTTCAAAAAGGAGATAATGAAACAGTGAAGAAATTGAGGACTATTGATAGAAATGCAGCTTACTATGAAAAGGAACTAGAAACTAAAAAAGGAACCAAGAAAAATTAGTGAATTCATTTCTTGAGATGAAAGTTGAGCTAAAAGTAGTGAATAATGGAATGAAAAATGCAGAACAATTAAGTGACCTGGAAGATAGAATAATGGAAATCACCCAATCAGAACAGCGGACATAAAACCAAATTAAAAAAAAAAAAAAGAAAGCAATATGAGAGACCTATGGGATAATATAAAGCGTGCCAATCTGTGCACAATTGGAATTCAAAAAAGGGAAGAAAGAGAAAAGGGGACTGAAAATGCATTTGAATAAATTATGGCTGAAAACGTCCCAAATCTAAAGAAGGAAACGGATATCCAGGTACAGGAAGCAGAGAAGAGTCCCAACCAAGGTAAACCCAAACAGACCTACACCAAGACATACTTCTCTACAGAAACTCTGCAGGCCAGAAAGGAATGACAAGATACATTCAAAGTCCTGAAAGGGAAAAATCCGCAACCCGAGATACTCTATTGAAACAAAGAATTTCCCAAACAACTAAAAACTAGAACAATACAGCAATACTAAACCCATCCTAAGGAAAATACTGAAAGGTCGTCTGTAAACGTAAACAAATTTTAAGCATCTACAGGAAACAGAAAATCATGATCTGAAATTTAATCACTTAGGTAAGCTAGTATACAGATTAAAAAATCAAAAATTTCTGTGAAGTGGGAGGTTGGGATTGACATATGTACACTATTGATACTCTGTATAAAACAGATAGCCAGTGAGCACCTATGTACAGTATGCAGTGCTCTCTGGAGACCTGAGCTGGAAGAAAATCCACAAACAAGGGGCTGAATGCGTACATGTAGCCGACTCACTGTGCTATGCAATAGGAGCGCTGTAAGGCGACTGTGCCCCAATGAAAACTGAAACACAGACGCATACAGATCACTGAAATGGAGCAGGGAGGCGAGAGGTGACCCCTGACGCTGGTGGCAGGAACACAAATGGGTGTAGTCACGACGTGCAACAGTATGGAGGCGCCTCAAAAACTACAGAGTTGCCACAAAATCCTGCAATCCCACTCCTAGGCATAAACCCAGACAAAACTGTCATTTGGAAGGACACATGCACCCCCAGAGTACACAGCATCACTACTGTTGCCAAGACATGGAGACAACCTACAATGTCCATCAACAGATGAACAGGCAAAGAAGATGTGTGTGTGTGTGTGTGTACATTTATATACACACAATGACCCAAAATGTCCATCAACAGATGAGCAGGCAAAGAAGGTGAGGTGTGTGTGTGTATATTTATATACACACAACGAAATGTGACTCCATAAAGAGAATGAAATTACACAATTTGCCGCAAAATAAATGGATTAATCTTACTAAGTCAAGTAAGTCAGAAAGAGAAGGACAAATACCTTATCACTTACAGGTGGAATCTAAAATATGGCCACAAATGAACCTACCTATGCAAGAGACTCCAGACACAGAACAGATGGGTGGCTGCCCCGGGGGAGGAGGGTGGGGCAGGGATGGATTGGGAGTGTGGGTGAGCAGAGGCAAACTGGTATATACGGGGTGGATGAACAAGGTCCTTCTGCGTAGCACAGGGAACTAGATCCAGTATCCTGTGATAAACCACAGCGGAAAAGAATAGGAAAAAGAACTGTGCGTGTATGTGTGTGACTGAATCACTTCACTTTGGGGCAGAAATTAACACTAAGTCAACTATACTTCAATAGAACTTTTAAAATGCAAAAAAAAGGTAATAGTTCTTATGTTACAAAAGAGTATAAAGAAAAAAGTAAATCTTAGGTATATTATCAATATAGGACCCAAAGCTTGCTTCTCATTAAAACAATAATAAAATCCTAACTGGTTTATATTTATCCTATTATCTGGTTTTTAACAGTTAAAACTTACTCTATTTTTTATCTTTCTCCTCAAAACTGTGAATTTCATAAATCAACCCTGCTAGTTACAGTTCCTCATAAACCACTCTTGAGAACCTTAATCCTACTGAAGTAAACCATTCGATTTTTTCTTTCTTAAATGCAGTAACTCTGTAAATTAGCTCATCTGTCATCTCACAAAAACTGATGGTCAGACTTAGTCTTTAGAAAGTTATACATCTCTTAATTTTGTGAATATAAAATTGCCCCCTCTTTTATTAAAAGGGTTACTTCTAAATAATGAATTTAACAAATACCTTCTAAATTCACTTAGAGACAACTTTTTTTCATAATAAAACCAAAACAAAATAGGTAGAATTACATGCTGTTCTGCTTAAAGCTCCAAACCCTATCACATCACTCCATCTTATGTTCAGCACAGTGCGGAACTCCAAAAACCCACACTCTGAAATGTGAGAAATCAAAAATGATAAAATTCCTAGTTTTTAAAAAATACCCAATCTGAATCAGATTAAACCACCAATACCTGTAAACTACTGGCAGTGTCTGCATATAATTTCTCCCTCCCCCAACCATCCCATTTGGCAGGGAAAAGCAGGCTGCTTGGAGGCAGACCTGAAACAATGGAGGGTGTCTCTTCCTGTTAGGGTTGTGAAAGCACCATTACCGTGAATAATACAACTGCACAAGGCCCAAAAACATCTACCTTCTTGTCAGAGGGATTGTGTTTTCTCATGCTTACCGATGACTTGACTTTCGCGGGATCGACTCGGTCGTACACCGGCGTGCAGTAAACGATCAGTATAAGCAGACTCAGCAGGAAGGCGCTGCAGCTGACGAACTCAAAGAAGTAGAGTCCCCCACACAAGGTGCACTGCGAGACCACCTCCTCACAGATGAAGGCCAGGAGAGACAGCACCTATGAGAGAAACAACATCGGCTTAACTTGTTCAGGGAGACCTACAGAATTCAGAGAATACCATCTGTTCACCCAAACATTTGTCGAGTGGAGACTTGGCAAACAAGATGAGTCAGTGAACCCCATCTATGGACACAGAGCTCAGTCCAGATGCCCTGAAGGGGATACAAGCACACAGAAAACAGTTACTATGAAAAGGTAGTTACTATGTGCTGAATGCCGGAACAGAGACATTCAGGAACTGCCCCAAGAGCACACGGGACAGGCACTCAACCCAGGTCAGGAGAGGCTTCCCACAGGAGCGCCGAGACCAGGAGGGCTGCAGTCAGCCTGGGGCTGGGAGGGAAGGGACAGGGGCGCGGGCTCAGGCAGAGGAGCGGTGCACAGGAGACCTGGAGATGACAGCGCGCGGCACCGGCCCGCCCCAGCCACACACAGGCCCACGACCCCCTGAACCGCGACGGGGGGCTGGGCCTGTCCAGGTGGAGGGGAGGGGATGCCATAGAGAGGGTGATGTGACAGCGGGGGGTATGCAGGGGACTCTCCAAGTGCCTCCGGGGGCACCCCTGGCGGTCCAGGGCTAAGAATCTGCCCGCCGACGCAGACGCGCAGGTTCGACCCCTGGTCCGGGAAGACTCCACATGCTGCGGAGTAGCTAAAAGCCCATGTGCCACAACTACTGCTGCGGCTAGGGCCCACGCTCTGCAACAAGAGGAGCCGCCGCAATGAGCAGTGATGCCCCGCAGCCAGAGCAGCTCCCGCTCGCTCTAACGAGAGCGCACCACACCCAGCGAGGAAGACCCGCGCAGTCAAAAGTAAGTGTGTGAATAAACAGACGCCTCCTTTCCCTGGTGTAAGGACTCTGAATTTTAAGGGTTTTTAACGCAAAGGGTGACATGATCAGGCTTATGTTTTAGTGGTTCTTTCTAGCTACAAGACAGCGAAGGGATGGGGAAAAGGGCAAAACGGCGGGTAGCCATCCAGTCGAGAAGCTGGTGCCAGAAATGAAGGGAAAGATGAACAGGGTAGTTGTAATGGACGAAAGTCAAACCCCTGATGATGGAGAAGCCCTGAGCTGACAGGATGAATACAGACAGAAGAGGAAACAAGATAACACATATGTGCTTAAACACTTTAACACAGAAAGGCACGTTTATTCATTCATCAGTCTCTGCAAGTGGGCCTGTTCTTTGCGAGTGTGCCTGGCTGGAATTCCCCTCCGTGTCTGCTTCATTAATCACCTCCATCATTTGTGACTGCCACTTCTAAACTGATGTTATTTCAAGCGGAACAAGATCTGGGACACTCGAGAAGCAGCATGCTGACTCTTTCTAGAATCAGACTAGTTTTACTAGCCTTTCACAGTTGCCGCACTCTTAATTCCACAGCAAGTATTTATTAACTTATTTTTTGGTCTTTCTAAAGCATCCCATTTATTTTCATAGAAACAATTCCTTTTCACATTCAATCTCAGTCTTGCAGTATTTAACTGGCCAATGCATTTGCGGTGAATGGAGGACAGCTGTCTGGCTAATTCGACAACTCAATTAAATGCAGGTGGGTTTTAACAGAGCTTCCACTGTTGTGTGATGAGGTACTCACACACTGATGCCTCACTGCAGAAAGAAGAGTCTGTCTGCTTTTTAAGAGGCAAGAGTGCTGGGAAGAGGATAAATTCATTTTAAATATGCTGTAAATGAGAGGTCTATGGAGGAGTTAGGTGCTGCCTAAGGCAAAAGGATATATGGGTCTGGAGCTCGGGGGACGCATCTGAGGTGGAGCCAACACATGGGAGATCACCCAGAGTTGGGAACGCTGGCCCATGGCAGAACTGTGATGAACCCCAAGACTGGGGGGCTCGACAGAGGGGGCTGCTGGTGCTGATTCAGTTGCTCAGTCATGTCCGACTCTTGGGACCCCGTGGACTGCAGCCTGCCAGGCTCCTCCATCCATGGGATTCTCCAGGCAAGAGTACTGGGGTGGGTTGCCATTTCCTTCATCAAGGGATCTTCTTGATCCAGGGATTGAACCTGCGTCTCCTCCACTGCAGGCAGATTCTTTACAGCCTGAGTCAGCAGGGAAGCCCCAAAGATAGGAGGAGATATGAGCATAGGACAGGTAGGAGCAGCAGCCCAAAGGGTAGCAAATCAAGAAAAAGGGTTTCTATGCAGAGCAAGTTATCACAGGTGCTGACTGCGGACTTCCCTAGTGGTCCAGTGGTCGAGACTCCGTGCTTCCAATGCAGGGGGCACGGGTTTGATCCCTGAGGTCAGGGCGCACTGAGATCCCAGGCCTGCCGTGTGGCGCAGCCAAACACAGAACCAGCACCAAGAGTGCTGACTGCTCCTCAGAGGTCAGCTAAGAACGGAACCGAAACGCTACGAGAACCTGAGTCACAGGGCTGCCAACGGCCCCGACAGGGCCACCTCAGCGAGCTCTGCGAGGGCAGCCCACGCTCCAGCGCTGTCCACGGGCAGTGAGGGCTGAGGCCGGGCAACAGACGGCCCAGTCACCAAGTGCAGCTCCACGTGGCCAGGTGGAGGGCAGTGGTGGATGAGCTCAAAGGGAAAGGCATTTCAAGACAGAGAACTGAGCGTCTTTAAGTGCTTAGAAGCCTGTGAGATGTCTAGATAGGAAGAAGAGAGGATCTCTAAAAGCAGGACTCAGGGCTCAAGGTGTGGGGCTAATGCTGCTCTACAAACAGAAAGGAAGAGGGAGCAGAGATTCACCTGGGCAGTCTGTGTGGGTTTTGTGGAGGCTGAGGGAATTTCCTTCTGAGCACTGAAACCTGATGGCTGATGAAATGACTGATGACCCAAGTCAAAGCCTACTGGGAAACGTCATCTTATTCAATTCAGGCCAGCAGGTGCCACCAGATACACGAATGGCAGTAACACTGCTACCAGAATCAACGGTGAAATTTCAGAATAGCTTTATCCTACAAAACATTTTCATTAAAGCAGAGGTCCTTGATACAGCCTTTCTGGAAAATGGTTTAGCAATTTCTTTAAAAACTAAGCAGGCAACTGCCATATGACCCAGGAACTGCATTCCTACAATCTGCTCATTTCTTGGTCCAGAAAATGAAAATGTACATTCCTGCGAAAACTGATACGTTAATGTTCTCAACATTATATTCATCAGAGTCCCAAACTCTGAACACTCCAGGTGTCCTTCAATGGTTAAGCAAACTGTGGTATCCATACCATGGAATACTACTCTTAGCAATAAAAAGAAACTTGATATATGCAACAATCTGATGAATCCCCAAAGAATTCTATAAAGTGAAAACAATCCAATCTCAAAAGGTTACATACCGCATGACTGCATTCACAGAATAACACAACTTTTCAAGATGGAGAACTAATCAATGGTGGCCAAGACATGAGGGAGCTACATGGTAACGGAACAGTTCTGGTTCTTGGCTGTGGTGATGATTAAGGAAGCTACACTCGATACAACAGCACAGAGGTACATGAACACACACACGTCTGAATGCAAAGGACCTCCCTTCACGTGTTTCTTTGCAAGTTCCTGTGATACCATGATTATTTTAAACAAGTTTAAAAACAAATCTAAATAGGGATTTCCCCCCTCCTACTGGCCATACAAAATTCACATGTGCCCACAACAGAAAAGAAAACACGTAAAGATGAAAACAGATCCTATTTTGCTGTGATTTCCTGTAAGTTAATGAGGCATAAAACAGTCCAGAAGATCCCAAACAACTTCCTCACATCAGACAGATGTTAGGTGAGGCGTTCCCAGTCATGGCACCACAGACAAAGCAACACACCTAGACAAGTCCCAGAAAGTTACTGTGTAAGGAACTTCCTCTCCTGTAATTACAAGGGCTTCAATGTCTAGAGTGTAGTAAGTGCCCAATGTCTAAAACTCCATTTCTTTTGTTCTCTGCTATGTTAAATCTTACCTGAATGTTAGGAGTTTCTCTACAAGAAATCTTCAGGATATATCTAAGTTGTATGAAATTAACTGTGAGAAGATATGAGCCTAGCACTCATTGAGATCAGAGAACAGCAGCTCTTGAACCGTTCTTGTTACAAGGAGGAGATTATCGGGAACACTCATCAGTGTCCCTAAGACAATAAAATCCTATCTACAGTAGATACAGACCACTTATCTACTCTCCCCAAGAAAAGTGCAGGAACCAGCTGGGCCAGAACCTATCAGAGACAAGTCATTATAAGCCCTCTTCCAAACTCCTCAAAGGAGGCATTCTTACCAACCTTAAACCTTAGGGCTCTATCAGGAGGCGGGTTCAGCATGGACATCCAAGAGAAGGAAGGGGTACTATGTCAAGCTTGGATGTTTACTAGTTCCTATTGCCAGTTAAAGGCCAAGAAATTAGCACTATAAGTTACATTCAGTATGAAAACTCCTGACTCCCCATCTCTGTTAATACTAAGCTTCCTTTAAAATCTCCCACAGCTCTATGTGCTTCCTGGTGGCTTAGTAGTCAAGAATCTGCCTGCAATGAAGGAGATGTTGGTTCGATCCCTGGGTTGGGAAGATCCCCTGCAGGAGGGCATGGCAACCCACCACAGTATTGTTGCCTGGAGAATCCCACGGACAGAGGAGCCTGACGGGGTACAGGCCATGAGGTCGCAGAGTCAGACACGACGGAGCGACTTAACTGCAAGGGCAACAGCCGCTCTGACTCCACACAAGACAAGGGGACACTTCACAGTCTATACAAGTGTCACGTCGGTACATCTCAAGTTCAAATTTTAAACTGTGTTGAGCATTATGTATCCAACATTGTAATATGTGTAGGAACATGTAATAACAGAGCAATAAGACCTATGTATGGACTCCCTTGTAGCTCAGCTGGTAAACAGTCCGCCTGCAATGAGGGGCTGGTAAACAATCCGCCTGCAATGCGGGAGACATGGGTTAGAAAATCCCCTGGAGAAGGGAAAGGCTACCTACTCCAGTATTTTGGCCTGGAGAATTCTATGAACTGTATATAGTCCATGGGGTCACAAAGAGTTGGACACGACTGAGCAACTTTCACTTTTAAAACCTATGTATAAGGGGAAAAAATAAGAAAACAATAATTTTATATCTCATACTTGAGCATTTGGTATAAATTCAGGAAAATGTTCAGATCCACATGGATTAATAGCAGCCGCAGAAGGATGTGTGAAAAGAAAGACCCAGGATCAGGACAGGCAGAGGGCACTCTGGGTGTGGCACAAAGGAACAGAATCAGACCAGTAAGGATCTGCAGGGCAGCCAAGAGGGCAACAAGGCAACTGACCCAACTGGATGGGGAGGGATGAGGCAAATGATTAAGGAGTTGAGTGTGGTTACGTGATGATCCTGCCAGAGTGGATGGACTTTCAGATGCAGGAACTGCCTGTCTGGTTTTGTTGGTCAGCAGAAAGGAGGGGTGGAGGGCTGGGAGAGCCTGAAGAACGTCACAGCCCGAGCGGAGGAGGGACCAGGGCAACTGGCAGCAGAAGAGCAAGGCACCGAAGTTGAACATGTCTCAGGGAAACGCGTTAAAAAGCAAGTAAACACACTCCAAACTGTTAATCCAACATGAGGCAGCAGTGTGTGTTGATGAGGCCTGAAGTGTGACTTGTTTTAATCTCATATATATATATATATAATGTATATATTTATGTTTATATTTGTTTGTAAGTAGACGCTTTTTTGTATTAAAAAAGAAAAAGTGAAAGTAAGGGAAGAACTTCAAGAAATGTGTGGTCACCAGCATTAAATACCTAAGTGGTTGAAGACAGGAGAAGCGACAAGGTCACTGAACGAGGTAAGGATATGATGGTGAGCGCAACCCCCAAGTTCAGAGGCTCCGTGACTACTTTCTGGTAAACAGTCTTGCTCTCAACAGCATGAAAGCATCACACTGAATGCTGCTGGCTGATTATTAGGCTAAGCACCTCACAGGGTACACATGCCCAGTATGGCTTCTTCTAATGATGTAAAATTGTATCAAACGTAACTAAGGGCATCACTGACCTGCTAAGAGTTTGCAGGGCCCTTGGAGAACAGGGCCCCCCACCCTTCTGTTCGCAGCTGAGGGGCTCAAACCTGACAGACTTAACTCACAAGTTAGCCAGTTAGCCTGACTCCCACTCTGTACTCTTTTCCCCCTAAAGCACTGTTTATTAAGCTCATCTTTCGACTGGATGTGTTTGTGCAGGATCTCCCTGTCATCTGGGTTTTTGAAGTTACAACCAGAGGTCTGCGCATTTCCCTTTTTGCTGTTAAGTCATACATTAAAACCACCACGCTAGAGTCAACACATTTGGGAAGTCTTAGTGACTAAAGACGCACTTACCGTTCTGGTGCCTTCAGCACTCAGAGAATGACCCCTCTGTCTCTCCGTTTCAGTTTCACTACCCTTTCTGAAACTTCAGTCTTCCCTAAAATTAGCAGTCACCACGCTAAACACTAATTCTCCATCACTGAACAGTCTACCGCCAAAAAATTTCTCATAAAAGAACTTTTTAATGTTTGCATTAATTGTAAGGCTCCATCTACACAATTCTTTTCTTCTGTGAATTATTAAACTCACTTTAAAAACCTTGTAGTGATATGTAAGGTTCACGTAAACAAATGTGTCAGCCTGTAGTCAGGCTAAGCCTCCCGTGCATTCAGCAAACATTTACTCACAAAGATTCAAAGATTTGCGGACATTATGGATCTTCTTCAAGGTAAAAACAGAGCACTTCAATTTAGTATGTATCAATTTTCACATTTAAGTCATGAAAAGAGCACCAAGATAAGCTAAAGGGCTTCTAAGTGATTTGTTTCTTGGCACTTACAAAATAACACTATTCACAATCTAATACATTTAAATCACTGGTGAATTCTAAACCAAACTGCTTGCCTTAAGTCATTATAATCATAGTACTATGCAGCCTTCAGGACATTCAGCTGGTCCGATAAACACAATGCTTGTTTGTGACAGAGACTATATCATACATAGTTAGATCACTACACCAGTTTACTAGCAAGGAATTTGGCTGCCAAAAAGGTCAATTCTCCTCGTAAAACCAAAACAAACAAACAAACAAACAAACAAACATGCCTCAAAAAATAACAGTAACAACAAAAACCTCACAAAGTACCTGCGTAAGGACCAACCTAGGGATAAGATAAACTACCAAAGTGACTTCATGGACTGAGAACTGCAACGCCGCCTTACGGCACCTTCTCCACTGAGTCTCCCGTTTCCTCTTCAGCTCTGCAAGGGTGGACGGACAAGCCTCTGACAAAACTGAGGTCACACGTGAACGGCAGACACAGCCCTCTAACTCCCAGAGTATGTAACTCAAGAGCCAGTCATGCCGTTTTCTCTCTAGCCGCCCCTTCCGTTTGCAGGTGCCGCTCTCTGCCCCCGGTGTTCGGATCTGTTCTGGCACACACATCCTGCAGAGCCTCAGACTGTAAAAACCTTAAGGCAGGAAAGAACCTCAGAGGAGACCCAATTCCGCCTCCTAGGACTCTATGAATTTCCTAAGTACACAGTGTCTGGTTTGTTAAATTTCAGAATAAGACATTTCTCTTTTGGGATTTTTGAGAATCTGGTATGATTTATGGGTCTAGAATAATGAACACAGAAATGCACTGTATTTTGAGTAAAATGATCTCGGGCTTGCAGGTCCCTTGTTAAAGTACCTCGTCTTTTTTGATTATGGGTTTCTCCACTCCAATTATTCCTTCTTGTAGCTCGCCAACTCTTTTTAATTAAAAAATAATTTATCTAAAGAAAACAACCTAAAGGCAGAGTTTGAGTTGAGGCAAAGACTTTGTCTGTTGCCCCTGGCTGGCTGAATTTTCATTTACTCCATATAAAACTTTCTTGGGACTTTCTGGATAAATCTATTGTTGTGAAGAGGTAAGACATTAAAACCGACAAAGTAGGAACAAAAAGACAACCATCAGAATTAAAGGCAATACTGAAGAAATATTTTTCTAAATCTATGTTAAAGAAAATGTAATATTATAAAATTCCCTGTAAACAAGGGGATTCTCTGACAGTCCAGGGATTAGAACTCCGAGCTTTCACTGCCGAGGACAAGGGTTCAGGAAACTAAGATCCTGAAAGCCGCAAGGTGAGGCCAAAACAAAGTGAAAAGGCTGGGACAGGTTCACCATAAACAAACAAATGGATTTCAAGAAGAGACATTAATTTTCATTCTTTTGCTCTTTCTCCTTATGGGTGATGGAGAACAAGCAGGAATAGTCTAACAATCCCCGCCAGGCAAACTCATTCTCCCCCTTCTCTCCAAGTAAAAAGTCTACCATCCAAACTTATGGCTGCATTCTATTCAGAAGATATGGAACTAGTTTATTAAACTATAAATAAGGCAATCAGAAACTTTATATCTGCCAATTCTCATTGGAAAGAAAAAAACAAGGCAACTGAAAAGAGATTTAATGGGCAACAGACCAATATTGACAGTGTCTTTTGAACAGCAAGAGTGCTTCGAATGAATATTACATCTTTCCTGTCCCAAATAATTCTTCTACTTATATAAAACCATTTTAGCTCTAAGGCAGAGAAACACAGCTGACATCTAAAAGTCATGCAAGAGCTTAGGACAGGAAGAGCAGAAGGAAGCCCTTCTTGGGTAGGAGGATCCGCTAATGCAGAAGAACAAAGGCAGGAGGGGGCTGAGGACACTGTAGGAATAGAAAGGCTGCCAGCATGCAGTTAAAGGGAGACACAGCCAGACCCTCCTGGGCCATACTGTCACTTGTTTCCAAGTGACTTCCCAGCTATTCCCAGAAGTGATCATTTGGGGGGGCTAAAAAGCTATGTTAGGTTTGTTTGGTTTTTTTTGCAATTTTTATTTTCAATGAAAGTAGGTCATCTGAGTTCTAAGAATGTAAGTTCTGGTTATCTGACTTCTAAGAACTTAAGATCTTCCAAAAAAAACCAACTGGCTGTTTTCACTGGGGATGATTCAAAAACCAAATCAACCCATAAACATTCTAAACAGTCTGATTTTTCCTCTTGCAGAAAATGTTACTCATCGTTCATTAAAACAGAAGAAAGGAGCTCAATGTGCATGTGATCTGAATGAAAATTTAAATTTCAAAGATGGTTTGATATTTTCACTAGTAGATTTAAGGTCCTAACCAACGCCTAAAGCAAATTGAAACTCAGTGCCCAAGAGAATGCCCTCGGCCTGCTTCCCTTCACACAACTCACACAAAAAGCTGTCCTTCTGACTTTGTATTTGGTACACACACTGCTCACTTAGAAAGAATTCTTTTCCAGTTAGTATTAAGAGACAACTTACTAGACACATCTCTCTCTACGCCTTGCGTAGTATCGGAACACTCTGGCCAACAAATATAACTGCCCCCTTGGGTTCACACCAGGAAAACCGCAAGAACAAGAGAAAGATAAAAAAGCATTTTGTAGTCCAAATACGGACACTTTGGGAGATAATGCAGGGTAACAGCAAGGAGAAGAGCCAAAGGTCACTACACAGGAGCAGGAAACGGGTAGGCTGCTGGCTTGGGTCTCCTACGCATTTCCTGCGCCCGCCCAAAACGCTGGGTGGTCTCAGAACACCCGGGCGGGCGGGCGCGGGTTGGGGGCCGACCCTCGAGGGACCCGGGAGGAGGGAGCGCCGGCAGACTCCCCGCCTGGGGAACGGCCCCTCCGCGGGCGGAGAGGGAAGGAACTGGGGGTGTGGAAACTGCCGCCTCTTAGCAGCAGGCAGAGCGCCGCTCGCTGCCTCCTCTCGCCCGCCCCGGCCGCGGACTCACCAGCTCCAGCAGTTTGAGTCGCCGGAACCCCGTGAGCCGGCTCAGGGTGAAGTAGGCGGCGAGGCCGCTCCGGGGGCCTCTGCCAGGGCCCGGGTGCGCCTCGGTGGTGGCTCTGTAGACCTCCCCGTTCTCCATCGCCCAGAGCCCGGGAACACAAGGCCGCGGCTGGTGCCCCCGACTCCACTGACTCGGCGGGCTAGGCCGTCACTTCCTGGGCCTCCGCCCCACTTCCGGCAGACTCCGCCCAGGCCCCGCCCAGGCCCCGCCCCCTGCCGCGAGGCCTTACCTCTCTTCTCGTAAAGATCTTGGGAAAGAGTGGGAAACATGAACAGCAAGTGCAAACGTCCTGGGGACCGCAAACGTCACGGCTCCCTCTGGAATGGCTGCTGTGGCCAGGTTGAGCAAGGGAGAAAAAGAGGAGGTGAGGCAGGCAGAAGCCAGACAATGTAGGGGCCTTGCAGAGCAAGGGAAAAAATGAATTTCATTTTCAATGTTACTGGTTATCTCAAAGGTCTTTCAGGATTGCTCCCTCCTGCTTCGCTGAATTCCTTTCAGGCTTACGTGTCAAAACTGATGCTACAGTCCCATATGTTAACTTTGTGTGAACTTAACCTCATCAAGGAAGGTAATCGTAATTTAGCAACCAAAGCTGATCAATTCACATGCCAGGCACAAGTACTTTCTCCACAACAATATAACATAGGTACTGTCATTACATTAATTTTACAGATGAGAAAACTGAAGTTGGAACCCAGCCCTCCCAGGTACAAAAGCCTCCCTTCTTGAACCATGTCCCCCATTTCTTGTTTTTAGAAAAAGGCTTTAAGTCTCCTAGGCCTTCCCTGAGTTCCAAAGAGCAGATTCAAGCAATTACTAATTAAGGAAGTGAGAAATGTAGAAACAAAAGCAGTCAAAACAACAGTTCAAGGATTAAACAGTCCTAGTTCTTCCTCAGGCAATACCTGCCTGTAACAATCTTACCACGGATCTTGAAGTTGTTCTGCAGGAAGAACTAAGACCCCTGCACAGGTGGAGGGTGGTGACTTACAGGCTGACCACCAGCACACAGACCCCAGACTGGCTGGAACCAGACAGCTGATGAAGATTCCTGAAATGCCTTACCTCACCACCAGCCAACCAGAAAAAAGTTATGCCCTCTACATTCTCACCCCAAAACCCATTCGTGTTCTTGCCTGCAGAATCCCAGGGACGGAGGAGCCTGGTAGGCTGCCGTCTATGGGGTCGCACACGACTGCCGCGACTTAACAGCAGCATTCTCATCCCAAATGCTGCCTTTAAAACCTTCTGATGAAAACCATTGGGAGTCCAGTCTTTTGAGCACAAGCTGTCCACTCTCCCTGCTGGGTCCTGCGAGACACGCTCTCCTTTCCTTCACTGCGACCCAGTGTCAAGTCCAGCTTTGCTGGACTGTAAGCAAGAGGACCCGAGTTCAGGTCAGAAACCAGGCCAAGAGGCTGAGTATCACATCCAAGGTCAAACACCCACAGGCAAGTGGAAGGGGGGCCCAGGCCACCTGACTCAGCCTTGCTGCTGGCCACGAAGCCGGAAGCCCCAGCCTGCACCCCATGAGGGCCTGGAAACTCACGTGAAAGGGAGGGGATACTGCTTCCACGTGGATCTTCTGTTCTCCACAGCCCCAAACCTCCCTTTCTCCCATTCAAATGGAACAAAAAAAGTAGACCCTATGCTGGGGATGAGGGGGGTGGGGGTGGATAAGCTACAGTCAGTCCAAACTATCCTACTGTCTTTTATTAAACACATTCTTAACCTCTTGCCAAGGCCAGCAGCCACCAATCCTAGCCAATAAAGCCTCTGTTTTCACAAGGACTATAAGGATTCATTGCCTTGTTATTAAAGTCACTGTCATCCCAAACTAGACGCTACCTGTGTCTGAAATTTACTTTGAAATTCATCCCCCACAAGGAGAGAGAGATGGGTTAATGAACAGAGCGATGGATGAAAGGAGAGACTTGTGATAAAGCAACTGCGGGAACATGTTAATGGTGTAGCACACGGGTGTTCACTGTACAATTATTTCAGCTTCTGTGCTTGGATATTTTCAAAATAAAGTATTAATGGAGGGAAATGGCACCCCACTCCAGTACTCTTGCCTGGAGAATCCCATGGACGGAGGAGCCTGCTGGGTTACAGTCTACGGGGTCACAACGAGCCGGACACGACTGAGCAACTTCACTTTCACTTCCCTGGTGGTCCAGTGGTTAAGAATCCCCCTGCTGAAGCAGGGAATACCAACTTGATCCCCAGTCTGAGAAGATCCCACATGCCGAGGAGCAACTAAGACTGTACACCACAAGCCCGGGTTCTAGAGCCTGTGCTCCGCAACAGCCGCAAGCCCCCCCGGAAATCAGTGCCCCGCAGTCAAAGAACATCCCACGCTGGCAGAGACTGGGGAAAGCCTGAGCACAGAAACGAACACCCAGCACGGCCAAAAAAACCCAAACAAGTGAGGATGTGCATAGGTTACATACAAATACAAATACATATTTTCAAATGAAAGACTAGAGCCTCTGAGGATTCTGGTATCCAAAGGGGGATGAATGAAGTGAACTCAAAGTCACTCAGTCATGTATGACTTTGCAACCCCATGGACTGTTCAATCCATGGAATTCTCCAGGCCAGAATACTGGAGTGGGTAGCTGTTTCCTTTTCCAGGGGATCATCCCAACCCAGGGATGGAACCCAGGTCTCGCACACTGCAGGCGGATTCTTTACCGTCTGCGCCACCAGGGAGGCTCCCAAAGTGGGGTCCCAGAACCAAGTCTCCCAGACACCAGAGGATGACTATACTAGGGATTCCTTTCGATGGGGGGAGCCACACAGAAAACTTTCCCTTCATTAATGAATAAACAACCCTGCGGGGAGTGGCTACACTGAAATGAGAAATCTTATTTATGGAGAAAAGATACACCAAATAAAAGGAAGATTAAGTTTTGAAGATTATTCAGTTTTCTCCTTTAATAGCAGTATTTTTTTTTAATGAAGCAAAGAAAACATTCAAAAAGAGACAGTTTGTGAAAACACAATTTGAGATTTTCACTATTCAAAAAGTAATTTGGTGCTACCTTTTCAACTAAAATTTTGTTTTCAGCAGGTCCTACTGAAACATCTTCAGGGCTCTCTTAACTATGTTAGGACTGTTAGGCTGGAATGTGGATACAAATCTGATCACAGACCCTGACCGTCCTACAGAGACATCCACAAAGGACCATGTCACAAAACAGAGTGAGTGGATGCCATAAAAGAGAGAGGATACAAATTATAAAAAAGAAAAAAAAAAGATAACACAAATTAAATGTTTTGAGAATTCAGTCAAAGAAAATGACTTTCAGCTGAAAGTTTCGGCATGGTGGAGCTTCAAGCTGGGGACTTCGGACGTGCAGAAAGAGGACAGGGGCAACTGCAGGCAGAGTGGCAAGGGGAAGAGAAGCCAAGAAGTGCCCATGAAACAGAACAGAGGAGGAAGGCCACAGTGGGAAAGGAGGGAAACTGACCGGCCAGTTTTGGAGGGCCTAAGGAGGCAGGCTGAGGAGGGACTTGCCTTGTGGTCTAGTGGTTAGGACCCCGTGCTTCCACTGCGTGGGGCACAGGTTCGATCCCTGGCCCAGGAACTAAGATCTCACATGCTTCTTGGCACAGCCAAAAAAAAAAAAAGAGAGAAATCAGGCTAAGGAACTAGAGCTTTCCTTTACTGCTGAACAATGAGGAACCACACAGGAGGAAAGTGAATGACCAGAGCTCTTCCTTGGGGGTGTTTTTCTAGCAGCCTTGTGTAGACTGGGTGGTAACAGGCAGGCAGGGACCGCTGCAGATGTTCTAGAAATAGGAAAGGGAGGCCCGGACTTGGACGGTGGTCACAGAACCAGAGCAGAAGGGGTGGCCTGAAGAGACTCGTGGGAGGGAAAACCAGTGCGATTTGGAGTTTGACTCGCTTGAAGAAAAAGGGAGGACCCGGAACAGAGGCTAAACTTTCAAGCCACATAACAGACACAAGAGACGGGGAACACAGGAGGAACTGCCTCTTGTCAGGATCAAAGCACGCACTTCAAAACGTTAACAGCGTAACAGTCCTACAAGAAGAGTCAGCATGCTTCAAAGATTTATTTAACTTACTGGCAATCAAAAGAATGCAGAAACACTTCGGAGGATGATATGAACAATCGTGGCATGTGTATATATGTGTGTGAGTGTCTGTGTATGAAAAAAATGGGAATACAGTTACTAGGCTAGTTCCAAAACTAGCTGAATACTGCACAGGACATAAAATGGTGGCCTCTGTGATTAACTAAAGCAGAGAGAAACCATTTTCATCTCTATCGGGAAAAAGTGAGGTAAGTCAGATAAAGACAACTATCATGTGATATCGCTTACAGGTGGAATCTAAAAACTGAGACACATGAACTAATCCACAGAACAGAAACAGACTCTCAGACTTAGGAAAACAAATTTATGGCAGTCAAAGGGGAAAGGCAGGGGGAGGCAGAGGGACAAATTAGGAGGTTGGGCTTGACACAGGCACACACACATATATAAAATAGATCACCATCAAGGACCTGCTAGGCAGCACAAGGAACTCAATATTCTTTAGTAACCTACACATATGGGGAAAGAATGTAAAAAAAAGAATTGGCTATATGTATAACTGAATCAAGTCAGTGTACACCTACAACAAAGCTAACATTGTAAACCAAAAATACTCCAATATAGAACAGAAAAATTTTTAAATGCCTCTACATTCCCCTCTGGCCCTGGTGGCCCAGGCTGGTGTCACACCCCTGGAGCCGTGGGTCCCAACAATGGACTGTCCTGTGGCTGAGGGAGCTGGGCAGGATGTGCCAGCAAACGAGCCCCACTTGGACATGGAGTGCACAGTCCTCTCTGGTGGGGCCACAATCTCCAGACTCAAGTGGGCCCTCCTACCAAGCCAAGGACACCCTTCAAATGGTGGATGCTCTGGACTGGAAGAGCTCTGAACAGTCCCCCTGTCTCCACGTGGCCTGGTGCTGAGTTCCCACCTCCAGCCTCCTTCCTTAGAGTGGCCCCACCTATGGCCAACAGCGCCCTAAGTGTAGCAGTTTTGCAGGGGTTGCAGTTTGTCTATGGAAGGGTGAAAGGGGAAAAGGTAATGAGCCAAGTCCTTGGGGTTTTGTTCTGGCACATGCCACCCTAATTGACAACCCAGGAACTCGACTTTTCCTAAGGCTCTGACTGCCCCAACTAACCAGAGTGGGAGCGAAGAAATGCTTCTGCCTTGTGGCCATTTCCCATCATTGTTCAGTCACTAAGTTGTGTCCGACTGTTTGCGACTCCATGGACTGCAGCACGCCAGGCTTCCCTGTCCGTCACTATTTCCCCGAGTTTGCTCAAACTCATGTCCATTGAGTCAGTGATGCCATCCCAACCAACTCATCCTCTGTCATCCCCTTCTCCTCCTGCCTTCTATCTTTCCCAGCATCAGGGACTTTTCCCTGATGAGAATGAGTCAGCTCTTCAAATCAGGTGGCCAAAACTAGTGCTGATGGCACTTTCTATTCACAAGGCCCATGGGGCTGGAAGTGACACCTGCCCTCAAGAAATGTCCTATGGCAGGTCACGGAAAAACAATTCAAAACAGGGCTGACTTTCAGGAAGCCAACTTCAAGAAGTAAATTTCACTCATACTTATTGAAAAAAAAATTTTAATGGAAAACATGCTCCACATGGCTAGTATTGAGACATGCAAATCAGAACTGCAAGGAGGTATCACACTGTGCCAGTCAGAATGGCCATCAGCAAAACGTCTACAGACAATAAATGCAGAGACACCGAGGAGGAAAGGGAGCTCTGCTACCAGGCTGATGAAAATGAAAATTGGTAACATGCACTCTGGAGAACAGTGTGTGGAGGTTCTTTACAAACTAGGAACAAAGCTAGTTTATGATCTAGCCACCCCAGCCCTGGACCTACCATCAGAGAAACACAGAATCTGAAAAGGCACCCCAACATTCAGTGCGGCCCCGTCTACAACATCCAAGCCACGGACGCCACCAGTGTCCACTGACGGAGGAACCGAAAAAGATGACGTGCTGCGTGTACACAGTGGGATGCTGGCCACAAAAACACAGGTGAAGTGATGCCATTAGCAGCCACGTGAATGGACCTAGACAAGATCATACTCAGGGAAGTAAATCAAACTGAGAAAGACTAGCATCATATGAGATCACTTACACTCGGAATCTAAAAATTGATACAAATGAGTTAATTTATAGAAGAGAAAAAGACTCTCAGAGTTAGAAAACAAACGCATAATTCCCAAAGGGAAAATCAGGGACGGAAGGGATGAATTAGGAGCTTAGGGTTAACAGATACACTGTCCTATATATACACAAGAGATAATCATGACGGACCTACTGTATAGGACAGGGAACTCAACTAAACACTCCTATAATAACCTATATGGGAAAAGAATCTGAAAAACAAGACATTTATACGTGTGCGTAAGTGAATCAAGTTGCAGTGGACCTAAAGCAAACAGCATTGTAAATCAACTCTACTTCATATAAAATAAAAATGAAGAAAGCAGAGCCAACCCTACTCCCCTCAGGCCTCAGGAACCCAGGTGCGAGTCACATCCCTGGGGCCTGAGCAGGCCTGGGTCTGGAGGCTGGACCCTCATGGGACTGACGGAAGATTTGCAAGCAAATGAGCCCCCTTGGACCTGTACTGCCCCCTCCCCTCTTGATGGGAGCACAAACTCCAGATCCAGGCAGGCCCTTCAAAAGCTACAGGAAGCCTACCTCACCCAAAGACCTGTGGATCCTCCTGGGTCAGAAGAGCTTTGTAAAGTCACCTGGTCTCCCCTCCTCGTGTCCTGGTGCTGGGGTCCCACCTCCACCCTCCTTCCTGAGAGTCACCACACCTAAGGACCACAGCACCCTCAGCGGAGCGGTTTTGCAAGGACTGGGCTTTCTCCGTGGGGTGAAAGGTAACACAAGCGGAAAGACACACAAGCCCCTGAGCATTTCTTCTCACGCATTCCGCTCTCCTGGACAACCCAGGAACCCAGGTAACCCGATCTGTATGTGGGAAAGTGCTGCCGCCTTGTGGCCCTTGCCTGTAACAACACTTCAAAACCTGCAGCTTATGGGCACTTCCTAGTCACAAACCCGGGGAGGCTGGAAATGACACCCACTCTCAGGAAATGTCCTGAGGCAGATCTTGGAAGAATGATGCAAAAAACGGGGCTGACTTTCATGAAGCCAATTTCAACAGGCAAATTTCATTGACACAGTTTGAAAAGAAAAAGCAGTGGAAAAGATAACCCATTGGCTATTAATGTGCTGCGCTTAGTCGCTCAGTTGTCTGATTCTTTGCGACTCCATGGACTGTAGCCCGCCAGGCTCCTCTGTCCATGGGGATTCTCCAGGCCAGAATACAGCAGTGGGTTGCCATCTCCTCATGGCTGTTAATAGAGAAAAGAAGATGAAAACTACAAGGCGGGGGCTTCCCTGGTGGCTCGGTGGTAAAGAATTCGCCTTCCAATACAGGAGACATGGGTTCGATTCCTGACCTGGGAGGATCCCACATGCCACGGAACAAGCCCACGAGCCACGACTACTGAAGCCCGTGTGCCCCAGAGCCCACGCTCTGCAACAAGAAGCCACTGCAGTGAGAAGCCCGTGCACCGCAACTAGAGAGGGGCCTCCACTCTCCACAGAGAGAAAAGCCCTCACAGCGACCAAGACCCAGAACAGCCAAAAATGAGCATATTTTTTAAAAAGAGCTACAAAGATGTATCACCTCACACCAGTCCCAACGGTCATCAGTAAAACATCTAAAAATATCAAAGGTGGAGACAGCGTGGAGGAAAGGGAACCCTCCTATGATGCTGGCAGGGATGTAAATTGGTAACAGCCACTATGGAGAAATCTGTGAAGGTTCCTTAAAATCTAAAAATAAACCTAGCATATGGTCCAGCAATCCCACACCTGCACACATATCCAGAGAACACTGTAACTTTGAAAGATACGTGCACCCAACGTTCACTGCAGCATTACTTACAACAGCCAAGACATGGAAGGAACCTAGATGTCCATCGACAGATGAATGGACAAAAAAGTTGTGGTATGTGTACACACACACACACAGTGGAATATTACTCAGCCATAAAAACGGAACGAGTTTGAGTCAGTTCCAGTGAGTTAGATGAATCTAGAGCCTGTTATACAGAGTGAAGTTAGAAAGAGAAAAACAAATATCATGTATTAATGCATATATATGACATCAGAAAGAGGATAGTGATGAAGCTATGTGCAGTAACAGAGATGCCAACAGAGAACAGACTTGTGGACATACTGGAGGAAGGGAGAGTGTGGGATGACTTGGGAGAAGAGCGCTGAAACACACACATATGTATGTGTTACCACATGTAAAACAGACAGCCGGTGGGAATCTGGAGCATGACACAGGGAGCTCAGCCCCGTGCCTGCGACAACCCAGAGGGACAGGATGGGGGAGGAGGGAGGCTCCAGTGGGAGGGAATATATGTATAATTATGACTGATCTGTGCTGATGTAGAGCTGAAACCACCACAACATTGCAAAGCAATTTTCCTCCAATTAAAAAAAAAATAGAGAGGATAAGCAAATCATATCGTCAATCTTGTCATTTACACCAGCAGAGGGCTGCAATGGCCAAGGAATGCTAGTGCTCCCTCTTTTCTAGGGCTTCTGCACACCTGTACATGCACTTAATTCCTCCATGGGATTTGGGGGGGGGGGGGGGGTGGAGACTAGAAAAAACAGCCTCCTTGCTTCCAGATCAGTTGGGTATTTTAGTTCAGCACAGTTGGAAGGGAGATGTGATGGAGAAAGGTAGAAATCAGAACGCTTTCTAACACCATACCCAAAAATAAATTCAAAATGGATTAGAAGACCAGAAGCTATAAAACTCTGAGAGGAAAACATAGGCAGAACACTCTGACATAAATCACAGCAAGACCCTCTATGACCTACCTCCCACAGTAATGAAAATAAAAACAAAAATAAACACATGGGACCTAATTAAAACTAAAAGCTTTTGCACAATGAAGCAAACTATAAGCAAGGTGAAGTGACAGCCCTCAGAATGGGAGAAGATAAAAGCAAATGAAACAACTGATAAAGAATTAATCTACAAAATATATAAGCATATCATGTAGCTCAACACCAGAAAAACAAACAATCCAATCAAAATATGGGCAGATGAACTAAACAGACATTTCTCCAAAGAAGATATACAAACGGTTAATAAACACATAAAAAGATGCTCAACATCGGTCATTATTACAGAAATGCAAATCAAAACTACAATGAAGTATTCTGATATTCTGACCTCATACCAGTCAGAATGACCACCATCAAAAAATCTACAAAAAAAAAAAAAAATGCTGGAGAGGGTGTGGAGAAAAGGGAACTCACTCACACTGTTGGTGGGAATGCAAAATGATACAACCACTATGGAGAAGAGTAGGGAGGTTCCTTTAAAAACTAGGAATAAAACTACCATACGACCCAGCAATCCCACTGTAGGGCATATACCGTGAGGACACGAGAACTGAAAAAGACACATGCACCCCAAAGCCCAGTGCAGCACCATTTACAGTCGCTGTAAATAACTGGAAACAACCTAGACGTCCATCGGCAGATGAATGGATAAGGAAGTTGTGGTACTTACATACAATGGAATATTTCGCAGGTATAAAAAGGAACGCATTTGAGTCAGTTCTAATGAGGTGGATGAACCTAGAACCTATTATAGACAGTGAAGTAAGTCACAAAGTCAAAGTGAAAGTGAAAGTGAAGTCGCTCAGTTGTGTCCGACTCTTTGCAAGCCCATGGACTGTAGCCTACCAGGCTCCTCTGTCCATGGGATTTTCCAAGCAAGAATACTGGAGTGGGTTGCCATTTCCTTCTCCAGGGGATCTTCCTGACCCAGGGATTGAACCCAGGTCTTCTGCCTTACAGGCAGACGCTTCACCGTCTGAGCCCAGGGAAGTTATAGACAGTGAAGTAAGTCACAAAGAGGAAGACAAACATCGTACATTAACGCGTATATATATGGAATCTAGAAAGATGCTGCCGACGATCCTGCATACAGGGTGGCAAAGGAGACACAGATGTGAAGAACAGACTTTTGGACTCAGTGGGGCAAGGAGAGGATGGGATGATTTGAGAGAACAGCACTGAAAGGTATATATTACCATATGTAAACAGATGACCAGAGTTCAATGTATGAAGCAGGGCACCCAAAGCCGGTGCTCTACGACAGCCTAGAGGGATAGGGTGGGAAGGGAGGTAGGAGGGGCGTTCAGGATGGAGCGGACACATGTGTATCTATGGCCCATTCAATACTGATGCATGGCAAAAACCATCACAATACAGTAAACTAATTATCCTCCAATTAAGTAAGTTTTGTTTTCAAGTTTTCTGATTGCTTAGGGAAAAGAGAAGTCCAATTTGGGAATGTGAATTACAGGGCATCTCTGCCATTACAAAGCCACCACAGACTTGCCTCATACTGAGTCATCCTGAGTACAGAAAACAGCTTTCCACTCATCATCAATTAAATCCTAGTTTTTGAAAATAGCAAGCATTAACAGAGGTTCCCGAAGCGAAAATATAACAGAAAGATACCCACTCTCTGCAGGGAACATCTTGTTTCTTGTTATCCTCCCTGTGTTTCTGCAGTCGAAAGAGACACATACTCTCCTGAAGCTGCTGCATGTCAGTTTATAGAAACCAGCTTTGTTTTGTTTTTAATGATTACATTGAGTGGCCATACCTGTTTACCTACCCAATTTCCCATGAAGAGGCCTTTAGGCTGTTTCCAATATTTTGCAATTAGTAACAATGTCACAGAGAATAACTGTGTATTATTTTTGTATCCTCAGATATGTATCTGTGGGGTAAGTTCCTAGGTTAGGTGGTTACTGAGTTTGTGTAGTTTTGTTAAATAGTGCAAATTCCCCTCACCAGAGGTTGTACTATTTTGCACTCCCAGAAATAGTGCACACACCTGTTTCTCCAACATCTCCCACAAAGTGCTTTCTCAAGCTTTGAATTTTTTTCATTCAGAGAGCGAGAAATGATGTTTAGTGTAATTTTAACTTGCATTTCTCCCTGAGAAGAATTCAATGTATTTACACATATTCAAGAGCTACTTTTATATTATGTTTCACTTGCCTGTCCATGTTTTGTTGCCTATTTGCATCCCATAGGGATTTTGGTTCCCCTACCTCTATTTTAAGAACCCTTCACATATTAAGTATATCAGCTTTCTCTGTGCTATAACTTTTTTCTCTTAACCTTTCTGCCTGCCTTTTGCTTCTGTTTATGGTGTTTTTTGCCATCATTGCTTTTTTTCCCAGATTATTTTTAGATAGTTAAGTATACAATTTCTCTTTAATTGCATGTATATTGAGTTAAAGTTAGAAAGCCTGTCCCCCTTCGGATACAAAAGAATTTTAAGTTTTTTTTTAGTACTTGTATGGGTTCATATTTTACATTTAGGTCTGATACACCTGGGAGTTGATTCTTGTGACTGATGTCAGGGATGGATCTAATTTAACCTTTACAAACGGCTAGCAGTTGGTCTAATACCATTTTATACAAGTGTATGTATAAATACATATTTATATATGTGCATACATGTATACATATATAAATATATAAAACTTTTCTTGTAGGAACAAGCACTCGAGGCAGCAGGCTTTTCAGAAACGGGCAATCACAGCGATACACTTAGAGCAGATGGCTAAAAGTGCTTGAAAAATCATGGGACTAGTATTTAATGAATTTATGCAAATTAAAATTCCTTCCCTGGTGGCTACCAAAATTTAATTTGTGTAAGTAACACTTCACAGTTTAGAAAAGTGCCCCCACCCCCTCAATCTGGTTTACCCCACTGTAACTCCAATCCCAAGCAGGCTGTCCTTAACACTACAGAGGACGGGGCTAAGGCTACAGAAGAGCAGATGACTTGGAGTCACCCACTCAGTGAATGGAGCACCCAGCTCCTCTGCCTCCTGCCATGGCTCTCCAGAGTCCTGGAACCACAGTTCTTTCACATTAAGAGAGCTGTGGTTTTACAAAGTCCATTAAGAAGGTGGTGGTGGCTAA